CAAGCGGCTAAACTGCAGTGGTATTTAGGTTATCCTGTACACTTACAGTACCTTGAGCATACAACCTGTCGAGACAACAGAAAACGAATCAGAGCCATGTGAACTGGCGAACTACTGGCTGAAATGTAAACGACGAGATATTGATATATTTGTAGTATACCGCACTTTAGAATACTTACTCCTAAGCAAACCTAAATCCTGGGGAAACAGGGGTAAGGGCCTTATTGTAGGTGACTCGAAGAGGAAGCTCTGAAGTAAAATCATGAACAACAGCATTTTAGTGTAAATTATTAGAAAACATAATTCCCTTAGCTTTGTTACAGTACGTTAGTAACCTCACCAGACATGACCCATAAAAATTCTCGTCTCTCTTTCATGTAGTCCTCACACATAGTCAGTCAAATAACCTTTTCACCTACTGCAGAATCGATTATGCGATTATCTTATTGAAGCTCATATCTGAGATGGTCCGTCAGTTGCGCTGGCTCGTCCTAAGATATGGAAGGCAAACATGTAAACGATCATATCTGTAGCCTCGACTGAAAGCTGGATAATTGACTCAGGGACATCGGTAGAACAGGTATGAACCTATATTCGGCAGTTTCTCAATCAAGTAACCCAACTACTTATACCTTGGACATTTCCGAAGAAGACGATGCACGGCCGTCCCTGGATAAGCCGGGATATTCGACGTTTACTAGGACGAAATAAGGAATGTTGGAACAAAGACATCAAACTTAGCACAGCTTGTACGGTGGAATGCTAAAAGTTGGGCCGAGCCAAGCGTATAAATACAAGCGGGGCAGCTCAGCGATGATTGTTATTATTCATAAACAGCTTATAGCTATATAAGTGGCGTGAAGAAACCATTCAGAAATGCAATAATACATAAGTTCCAATAATGTTAGCATAATATTTGCCCTATCTAAAAAACCGTCTCCGTGTAGTTGAGAAGAAAATCAAATTGAATTTTTTTGGAACCATTTGGGAGGGTGTTATTTCTACTCGCTGGGTAGATTCTGTTTTCATCTTTTTATTACGTTTCAAGACTACTGTTTACACTTTAACTGGATTTATTTCGGTTAAAGCATCCGGCTAGAGTATCGTTTTTGTTTCTAAAGCAGTTTATCGTCGGTACTTTTGAGTACATTATTCTCTATTTTATTTGTTAGTACTTCTAGTTCTAACAATTTACAGTTTTCCACTTTCTCGGTCATAGATTGTTCTGTATCTGGGCACTTTTGTATCTACTTTCTTTTCAAAAATCTCTGTTCGATGACTGGGCAGTGCAAGTAAAGCAATTGCCGATATCCCGTTTAAAGCTGCATTCAGTGCGATGGGTGCAAAGACTAGTACCACGAAGTTTACATGAATTTGACGCCTGCGGCTTTCAAGCGGTTTGGTACAAACGGTTGCGTATGGCTTTGCCAGCAGTGCTGTTGGGACGCAAACAACTTGTTAACCGAGGCCATTTCAATTGTAAACGCTGCAAAAATGTGTTTTAGCAAGAGAAGTCGCGATATATCGAGCAGCACTCGCTCTGTCGACACGCAAATTGGTGTGAAGCCACCTCAACTGAGCTCGCAAACAGCTGACTCGCATCGATCAAAGGAGGAAAGACCGTCTTCAATGAGGTCTGTCTAAATTAAAAACGCGAGAAAAGAAGTTTCCTCTGTCCTACGACCTCAAAATGAGATCCAGCAGGAGGTCCCTAAGAATCGCAGTTGCAGGGCTCGAACAGTTTCTAGCAGGAAACACAGGCTGACTCCCCAAGTCGTTGACGACCATTCGGAATCCCACATTATGTTTGACGCCACTGTAGTTGCTACTCCAACCAAGGTTGACATATGGGTACAGGTTGGAAGCATGAGACGACATGACGATGTAAAAAGGAATCCTACCCCCATGAAAGTAGTCGAGAAATCGAAGGCTGATCACAGTGACAGGTCAGTTTTTTCATGGGATCAGGGTGAGTGAAAGCTCTGAACTGAAACCTCGTTTTGAGCATGACATTGTTCTGATAAAACAGGTACTTAATCAATTTGTGCCTCAAAATATCTCCGGAGTCACCTAGCTAATTGTGTACAGACTAGGTAGTCAAGAGAATTTGAAGCCTAATCAATCCAGACTGCTTAAAGTAGTATTCAAATCTTCGAATGAACGCGCCTTTATTTTACAGAATGGACATAAACTAAAGGTTTCAGGTGTTTTTGTTCGTAAGGACTTGCCGCTGGCAGACCGTGTAAAAAGACGGGAAGCCGAAAAAGAACTACAGCCTGGGTCAGACTTTGGCGAAAAGGACCTTAAAACTGGTAATTCTCGGGTTGTAAGGCTTTGACAGAGAATGATGCTGAAGCCACTCTGGGTGAAGCACGAAGCCATCCAAATAGCCTTCGGATCTGTTACACTAATGCCCGGAGTTTGCTCAATAAGCGATCGGAACTTGGTGTACAGATTGACTCTACAAAGCCAGACATAACCGCAGTTACAGAAACCTGGCTGACACAGGCTATAGATAGTATGGAACTTGATTTCGAGGGTTTTACGTTAGTAAGAGCCGACAGAATACAAAAGCGTAAAGGAGGCAAGGTATAAACGGTAATCCCTTTCAAATCTGTCCGCCGTTTCGTTTCAACGACCTTGAACGCGCTGACTGGAAGCGGGCATTCCGTATTTCAATTGCCGTGTGTGTGTTGGGTCCTATGAGTATTAAATGTTTCCATATATAAGTCATCTTTTGATGCATAATAAACACTAAATAACTGCTAAGAGCATTAACTGAGTATTTTCTGTTTTGTAGTGCACACTTTAGCTCTGTTGTTCCTTCGAAACTTGATCTGTGGTCCTAAGTGCTGTAGTGAAAGTCAACAGCTATATATAATTTGTTGATAAGGTCCAGAAAACAACGTAAGAAAGATAAAATAACGTAAAAGGTTATAGATGCGCATAGTTTTTGTGAGTTAAGACGAAATGTCAACTGAAGGGTAAGTCCTAAATATTTGTTGTTCTTCCTTCAGTTAATTTTTTTCAAGGAATAACCTTTTTTTAACAGCTATTGTATGTTGTCTCTAGTGCTTCATGCTCAAGTGAAATTTCAGTGAACGTAAGCGACGCGTTCCAACGTATTATGCTGAATAAGAGATTCGGAAGCTGGATTGAATTAGATAATGCGCTAAAGGATTTCCATAAAGTATGATGGGATAAATCTATGTTTTCTCAGATGACCCATACACACTATGTTCACGCAGAAAGTAGATTGTTGAAGGATGTGAGATATAAATACTTGTTCGTAGTGTTTCGTTGCACGTTTGGTCGTAAACGTAAATCAGAAGGTCTGAATGTGATTAAAAAACCGTGAGGACTCTAACTAATGTGTTACCTTTAAGGTCTAAATTTTTAAATTGCCAATCGATGTTTCGCGTAAGATTGGAGGGTCAACAATACGTTATAAAATCTTACAACATGACTCACAACCATCCGTGTACTAGTTCGTGGATGGTTTGTGATCCGTTGAGTAGACGATTGTCATCAGAAGAAAAAGAAAACTTGAAACCACCAAAGGTCTGATCCGGAAGGCAGTGGAGCATCGTAAGGAGATGTAGTCACATGGTAGCTGGTGACCAACGATTGGTTCATACGCCATTTGTTCCCTCAGGATACTGGAGTCCATGTGTACCATTGGTTTAGAATTAGGGTTATTCAATTCCTACAGGTGGACTCTCCGTGTCCACTAACCCGGTTAAAACACCGGACATTCGCTTTTCATCCTCTCAATTTCGTAAACAACACCCGTAGTGCGAGAAGGAAGTGAGTAGAACTTCCCTGACAGAGGGTATATACGCGTGTCCATATGAGAGCATTTGGAGAGGGAGAGCTGACTCGCCCCACTCTCGGCCGTACTAGGGCATTTGGGGGCAATCTGAGCGTACCCTGTTCGACTATTTCACTATACATGCGTAATGCTACAAACATATGAACAAGTGAATACGTGTTATACTCATATGTTTAAGATTATAAATTAAGATATTCAGTCGATTTTTTTTTTTCTTATATGCATGAGAAATTTCTACGTATGTAAACTAAAGTGAATAGAAGTGCATCAAAATGCATAAACGTATGACGATGTATCACAAGTAATTGTTTATGATTTTTCGTTGGTGCTCCTAGTTATTTCTCTGAGGACTAGTATACTTCCCGGGAATTATAACCTTAAGCAGGTGGCTCTCCTAGGTACTAACGCTCAAAGCATTTAATGTAAAGGTCTGAACCAAGAGACACGAGAGCAATGTCAAGTCATATAATGTCTTGCTATCCAGTGACTATTATAGATTCTTGCCCCTTTACTTACATCACACCCACTGTTGTTTGGTATCAGTGTTCACCAACCCAGGTTATAAGACCAATGTTCAATTCGCTGTTTCACTCTTATAAAAACACCCGGCGACGTGAATGTAGTGAGTAGGACTTCTATAGAGTAGACGATAAACACATGACTGTATAAGTGCATTTAGAAAGTGATAAGAGACTCTTCATCCCAAATTGTCCCAGGTCATACTTTTACTACTACTGTTTCATAAACAATAATTAACGCCAAAATATCAGCATCTTTACTTTAAAGCTCAACAGCTCCAATCCTCATTAACACTACTTATGATTATGAGTTCATATGTAATATCTTAATAAATTAATTCATTTATCCTATACCTATATACAGGTTTACCATTCATATCATCACTTCCAAAAGAATACATTCAACTTGTTCCAGATTCAGTTAAATTGATTAAATCTTTCCCATCAGTTATATCAAATTTATCTGATGATAATGTCAATCAATTATCGACTACTACTGCTACTACTGATAACGTGTTCAGTTCAATGAAGATGGATTTACCTCATTCAACACAGTTGATAACATCAAACACTGATAATAATGTTGATGAAATGATATTAATATGGATAGTGATGATAATTTATTGATTAAAAAATCTTCATTCAATGTTATGCCGAATGAAACTAAATTAAAACGTCTAGATCTTGTTCAAGATACAAGTACAGATGATGATACAATAGAAGATGATCAACACAGTAGGAAATCTGTAAATAAATTGGTATGTAGTTCTACCTTCTGGTTTGTTTGTTTATTTTTATATTAATCTTAACTTAATGAAGTATGACTACTTGTATTGTGAATCCTTTAAATGTCCATTAGAGATGGTTATTTTATTGATCGGTTCATGTTTCCTCCATCCTAACTTCCATCACTGATATATATCTGTAACCTATTTAAAAGGCTGAAAACTATACTGTCATTCAATCATTACTATTATAAATCGTCTAGTTACAATTGAGTGTGTGTTTGATTGTCGATTAGTTGCGTTCATTAGTGGCCAACGAATGAATAATTTTATTACATCTAGCACTACAGGATTTGAATCGACCACTGCATCTCTGTGCTAATGTGGTGTGGCAATTCGAACTAATGTACGTACGCACGAAGTTCTACGTTGTTACTGACTGGTTGACTGATTAGTGGTCAATGTCTGCGTTGTCTAAATCTCAGTGATCGTTTAATGTTTGGAATTCAGATGTAAAATGAATGTACAATTGTAATTGAATAGTGCGGAACTGTTTTTTTAGTAACCTTTTATTCAAATTAATGAAATACTTGATATTATAGTCTTTAATCATCTTTTGTACTTAAGTAATTTTTAATGTAGTCCCCGGAAGCTAGTTAACTGACTGAAGATTGACTTTGTGTTATAGTCCAGATCAGTGACTATCTCCAACTGGTATGCAAAAAAATAGTACGAACCCATTTATAAAGCACTTATAATTCTTGTGTATATACAAATAGAGAGAGACTAACTGTTAAATTCCATGACGACATTTTGGTAAGATAAATAGTCTACTTACTAAAGCTCACCAACACTGTTATTTAAATTCTCATACAACGTTCAAGTATCGTCCAGCCTAATACGGCTGAGGGTGTGGAAAGTCTGTTATCCCTCTCAAAATGCTCTCATATGGCCATGCGTATACAGAAACTGTCAAGGAAATACTACTCGATGTTTTCTCATGTCAGGGGTATTGTTTTCGAAATTGAGAGCAAGAACAGGAAATATTCGGTCCTTAAACTCGATTATTGGGCATGGAGGATCTCCCTAGGGGAGTTGAAAAACCCTGATTCCAAAACAGTGGTGCGTATGAATATATTGTTGACCACCGAATATCATGTGACTGCATGTCCTGACGTTGCTCCACTACCTTGTGGATTAAAACTCTAGATTAGAGGCTCGGGGAGTAACCTCCTAAGAAAACCACCTGTTTCAATTTGGGCCCTTAAACAGTAACCTAGCCTACATTGAAATTGGACAATAACTACTTTTTATAGAAAACGGGGGATTGTAAAACTATTTGAATCACCGAAGGAGATTGTTATGTGTAAATAAATGTATGAGTGGCTTTTCCAAACTGGTCTGTATGCCAACACATCAGTCTTTAGGAGTTGTATAGCATAGAGGGATTTAACTGAAGAATTACTCATTTAATATTGTATAAGTTCTGGATTATAAAACGGTATGTTATAATCCCTGTTTATGGATAGATCTACCTATCCATAACACGATATCACTACAGATATCATTTAGACGTTTTAATATATTGCTCAAACGTGGGATTGTTATTAAGTATTTGTTTACATAATCTACTTTTTTTCTCTTTTTTTTCTCTAGAAAAAATTAAGTCGTATTCAATTAGCAAAGAAAGAATTAAAACAAAAGATTCGGTCTCATCGAAAATTAGAATTCGACGATGAAGGTCATGTAAGCATCTGTGTTTGTGTGTGTGTGTGTGTCTGTTTCTCTTGAAAGTGCTCTTTTATGTGGATATATATATATGTTTGTTCTATAATTTTCCCATTAAAAATATCGTTTTATGATGATATGTTCTATGGGTCACATTGACTCAACCACTTCTTTAATTTCAAAAGGGATTTTGTGGATATTATAGTCATTTTAATAGTTAAGATCATGAGTCAATTGAAGCTAGACCACTACTGAAAACCTGGAAGCACTGGACGGTCGTTTCGTCCTAGTATGGGACACCTCAGCAACGCGCATCCACGATCCGACTCCCTGTGAAATTCGAACCCAGGACTTATCAGTCTCGTGCCAGGCGCTTAACCAACTAGACCACTGAGACGGCATCCAACGCTGTTAATGTCTAACTTACACCAATTCAAGAAGTTGCGCCACCGTTCACTATTATCTCACAACAGACCTAGTTGAACTCCACTGGTAACGGCTTCTCACTAGAACTCCAAGAGTATCTCATGAAGTCAGTCACTAGTGAGAAGATGATTATTATCAAAAGGGGTTTTGTGGAGTTTTTAGAAATTTCATTGTTGTGAGATATCAATGGTGTACAGAGGCGCAACTTCGTATATATAATGAATGTTTTTTTTCTAGAAATAATACTTCATTACTACATACCAAGTGTAGTTTATCATTATTCATGTGACTCAGTAGTCATTGTCAAATTCTCGCAAAATAATTCTGATATTAGTAATAATACTATTGATTAACACATTGTATAGATTTGATTACTATCAGTTATATATGTAATATCAGTTTTATTTAGAACCATAACGACAAATGAATTGAAAAATAATGTTTTCTCGGTCATCTTTTGTCTGTCTACTCAAGAAAATTGTGTTATCAATGAATTAAACTTATCCGTTAGAAGGTCAACTACCGTCTGAATAGCTGAATGGTAATATTTCATACACTAAAGCTGGGAAATGTCGATTCGAATATCATAGGAAGTACCTGTTCCTTCAACTCTGTAAATATCCACAAATGCTCTGGTACATCCGAGAGTGAGGGACAGTCAGCTCTCCATCTTGAAATGCTCTCACATGGCCACGTGCATATAACCACTACCAGGCAAGTCCTACTCAATTCCTTCTCTCGGTGAGGGTGTTGTTTACGAAATTGAGAGGACGAAAACTGAATGTACGGCCCTTTAAGTGGGTTGATGGACACGGAGAGTCCACCTGTGTGAGTTAGAAAACCTTGAATCCAAACCAGTGGTGTACATGAGCTGTAGTATCCAAAGGGAACAAAGGGCGTATGAACCAATCGTTGGTCACTGGCTACCATGGGAATGCATCTCCTTACGAAGCTTTACTGCCTTTTGGATCAGACGTTTAGGTAGAAGGCTCCAGGTGTGACCCCCTAAGAAAAACGACCTGCTTCTATTTGGGAACCTGGGCAGTATTCCAGCCCTCACAGAAATGGAATAATTTATGTGGCACATATCTATTTGATGCCCCCTTGTTCCAATGTTTATATGTTTAAATAAATAAACAAAAATGAAACATAGATCAAGGGTGTCTTGTCATATGCCTCTAACCATCTAAAATCTTAGCATTCTCACAATGAATCAATCAGTTTATTACTTTTACTTCTTTCTTTCAGGTAATATGCGAGAAAATCGGTGATATCCCTGTTGCTAAACCTCCAATACCTATTGATAATCAAATTGAGACAACAATTACATCAAATGAAACATTAAACATTGATCAAGAACGTCGTTTATTACATGAAATTATAGATAAAGAAGATAAGAAATTATGGAGACAACGTATTCGTCAACGTCATCAAGCTGAACGTAAAAAGTTGAAAGAGGAAAGAAAAAAATTATCACAATCGAATGGTCCAAAAATTTCGTTGAAAGAAAATTCATCAGATTCAAGTGTTGAAGATGAATCAGATTAAATTAATTAAATGACAAGTTGGTAAGTACTATAAAACTAAATTCTTCAACAGTTTTATAGAATTAATAGATTGTAGCTGATAGTGGGATTCAAGCTTTGCACTTTTTTAATGCTTGGAACTCATCGTCTAATATGTATATGTCAATCCTTGCGTTATCCGCTGTTCCTTTTTGAAGTGAACGGTATACTGGACTACTATTCCAATGTAAACATCAACATTAAGATACTGGTTTATTCATGTTGTATCCCACAAGGTTATAATGTAGTGAACAAGAACACGGGTGGGGACAATCGACTGTCTTTAGCACAAAATTACAGACTGTCTCAATAAAATGTGAATACCATAAAGTCAATCGTCAATTTGCAAAATATCATTCCATCATATGAATCTGTACTTTTCCAGTTGCAAACACTAATCCAATGTCTCCCATTCCATTGTACATGCGTTTTCTTACAATTCCATTGTGCTCTTGCTCTTCCTTTCTTGATCTTCGCCATCTTCTGCTGCCGGACATTACGTTCTTTTAACGCATGTAATATACTACTTATATCAATATAAGTAGCTCACACCACAATAACAATTCAACTAACGATTCTCATATAAGACAAAATGTGCATATCCTGGATTCCCCAGTACTAGAAAAAGCGCAACTCATCTATTCTGTAAAACTGTAAGACTGATTAAAATTCTGTATTGGTTATCAGTGATAAAATAGTGGAAAACTTTACTTGAAAATTTGTTTATTCGCTTTTCATTACAAATCAGTATACTTCATTAGTTGGGAGAACATTTTGAAACTATCAAGAAGTAGATAGCTATTTCATGTTAGTTCAATACGGTTTCTTTAACAATGCGTACTCACACAATACTAAATATGTTGTCGAACTGGGAACCTTGTAATATTCATGAAATATGATCTATGATTTTAATCAATTAGTGAGTGAGACTAATGCCCATTGATTTTTGTTCCTATGTTTGTGCATAATTTTCCATATAAGTCATACTAATGAGAGATACAACCAAAACAAAGAAGTAAACAATGACAGGTTTAAGGTCAGCTAGAAGAACCAATCAACATCGAGGTCTACAGGATAAGCTGTGAGACATATATGGAGAAATTCGAACAATTCACATCTATCTGAAGTTTGTGCTGATAATGTCGTTCAAAAGAACGATGAAAGCTCCACGACCAAAACCATCCAGCTCAGAGAACAAAACTCCACCAAAATCATCCACCTGTGCTACAAATCTTCAGCACTACCTCTTTAATAACTGCTAATCCAATAAGATGCATGTTCATTATTAAGTAGCTAAAGTCGATCGATAGGAGACCTTTAGATGTACATGTAAACGTGATAACCAATCTGATGCACTATTAGTCATATTGCGATTCGATTGATTGAATAAGACCAGAATTAAGGATTAGACAAACATTACATCATTAACAGCCCAGTACAAAACACCAACCATTCATACAATAGCAGAACTAATAACTGAATGTCAACATCTCTGGTTATGTCACCTTGAGTGAGGTGGGTTCAACGCCTACAACGAATATCAGTTGCATTAAGATTACAACCGAGTGCTGAATAGCATCAAGTCTGGGTTTAAATACCTTACATTTGATCACTTCTAAGCAATTAACAGCCCTACATAGTGCACCAAATATTAAGTCGCTTAAACTACTGTACACACTACAGCTTGCTCTATACGATCCCATTAGTATTATAGACCAGAGAGATATGACTAAGTAATCAACTGATTTAAACTATATTTCAGCTACCATAGTTATTATTTGCTTCTCTGATGCGTAGCCTAAATCGAACAGATTATTAGTGTAATGACTGTTAGACGGCTTCTGTTGATAGTCAGTCAGACGTACGCAACGTAGAACCGGACACATATGTATATCGATTCAAGTTGTTATATCAGACAAATCCCAAATTGGTAGAAGTATTAACCAGTATCAGTAGTAATGGGTAAGATTAGGTGTAGAAAAAAATGAATGATGAGATTCAAGAACCCAAGATTTAAAGGAAGATAAACGGTGAACGCACCTGCCCCATCGCGAACGATTTTGAGCCATGTCATTCAAAGTTTTCAACCATTGGTTAGAACAATTACGCGGACCCCAGCCAGATAGTCTACACTCGTTAACTTACATATCTCAGTCCAATTCTCAATGACTTTACAGATTGGGACCACGTCTTGGTTTGACGGGCTCTAAGTACAAAATAATACTCTCAAAATGGTCTTCATTCCCTTATTTACTAACAACTGAATATTGATGTGATTGAATATGTTAATTGATGCATTTATTTAATATCAGATGATCGCTAGTTGATTGAATCTCTACTCAGATCATTTGGGATGGATCAGTTTACTATATTGATCGGTTTTGGATGAAACATTATTGCACATTCAATGAAGAATCATGTGCACAAATTATTATTAGTTGACATAATCATTCATTGTGAAGTTGCCAAGGGTTCAACTACACGGTTAGGCTTGAATCTAATAATATGATTGGATTGCCAACCGGTTACTAGGATCGTTGATGTGACTCATTCACCAAGTAGAGGTTTATGTACTTGGTTTCAATGCACATTGTTTGTACGAGGGTTATTGATTCTACTACCCAATTGCCTAGTCTGAATTAAGTGGTAATCTATGATTCGAACACGCTATTTCAGTGAACAAAAGTCGAATGATTCTATCAATAAGTTGTCATTTTAATGAGGTAATAATAATAATTTTATTACTGTTCTCTAAGGTTTACTATACTGAAGTACAATTACAAGTGGAAACAATCTTGGGTTACATAAAGTAATTTAGTTTACTCTATACAAACTTCTGATTTTTTTCGACAATTTCACTGTGTTCATCAATATATCAACATAGAAAGTCGATGATAACTGTTGATTGAAACTAAATTTTCTTACTTAAATATATAAAGAATGGTACAAAGAGGCACTAAATATATATGCGTCACATTTTGTTATTCGATTTGTGTGAGGTCTGAAATACTTCCTGGGTCCACTGACCGAGACAGTTGACGTTCTAAGGGGGCCATCCCCTAAACCTTTGACCTAGTGGTCTAATCTACAAAGTAATTGGGCAACGTTAGGAAATTCAGTCTCATGGTGGCCTATGACCAACAATAGGTTCATATGTCGCCTCATTATGCTTGAGTTTATATGCACCGTTAGTTCGAAATCAGGGTTTTCCAACCCCGCTAAGTGGATCTACCGACCCTGTTAAGGCGCCAGAAATTCGCCTTTCGTTTTCTCATTTTCGTAAATAATAACCACGTCATGAGAAGTCATTGAGTAGGATTTTCCTATCAGTAGCTGTTCACTCGTGGCCATTTGAGAGAGATAACAGACTCTCCACACCCTTGGCCGTAACAGGGTATTTGGTAATGTAAACGTTTCATCACGATTTAATGCCACTGGAAAGTACCATGCAACATACATTAAACGACAGTTGTGTTTATTTATTGCCCCCAAATGCCCTGGTACGGCCGAGAGTGGGGAGAGTCGTCTCGAAATGCTCTCACATGGCTCTGTGCATACAACCACTACCAGGGGAGTCCTACTCACTGTCTTCTCTCGGTCAGGGTGTTTTTTACGAGATTGAGGGGACGAAAACCAAATGTCCGCCGCTTTAATCGGGTTAGTGGACACGGAGAGTCCACCTAGATGAGTTGGAAAACCCTTATTCCAAACCAGTGGTGCACATGGTCTGGCTCCAGGATCCTGAAGGAAATAATGGTGTATGAACCAATCGTTGGTCACTGGCTACCATATGACTGTATCTCCTGACGTTGCTCTACTGCCTTATGGATCACACCTTTAGGTTGAAGGCTCCGTGTATAGCCCCCTAAGAAACCCACCTGCTTCGGTTTGGGCATCCAAGCAGTATCACAGCCCTCACACAAATCGAATGATTTATGCGGCACATATCTGTTTGATGCCTCCTTGTATCAATGTTTATGTGTTTAAATAAATAAAATTTACTTATTTATCTAAATATCTGATTCTATTTCGATTCCAGTATACATACAAATTGTACTCCAGATCCAATTTATGTAAAAAAAGAATTACAAAGATAATCTCTATTTACCAATCCATTCAAAGAAGAAAAACACTGATCAATGATAAATGAATTAACATTTTTCTGACATTTGTCAATATTGTAAATAAACTTATGAAAAACAAGCGGGGTTTTTTTGTTTGTTTTCTTCTATTCACAATGAATAGTAACTAGGTGAAATGTGTTTCTTGAAGACTTTCTAGTTTAAACTGTAGGTTATTAACAAAAATCGATAAAAGCGCCATAGAAACTGTTTTACCTGGATAGTATTGGAAGGTGATCTGTCCGAATATCTGGGCCACTCGTTCCCGTCATCTAAAGATTTCAACAAGTTATCTGTTTTCTTGTTTGTTTTTAACAGATCATTATGTCTATTAGTTTTATAACCTATTCAGTTGGGTTTGTGAAATTTCGCACAACGTTTCGTTGTACAAGTTAGAGAAGAGCACAATCAGAGTCATTGTTTTAACTGGTGATATGCATTGAAAAGAATACACATTCTTGACATGTCGATTCCTGAACTGCTGATATCTAACTAGCGACCACTCAATATTTACCGTCTAGATCGATCAAGAAATAAGAAACGGAAACCTGTTGTAATACCTCGTGTTGAGAAATCTATATTATACCATCAATCGGTTCATGATTTCCATGACATACATATATAAACTGTTTACAAACCTCAACTCATGAGGATAAATGTGTCAGTATGTCTAGAACCAGAATGGCTTCTTGTAATGATTACTTAAAGTTTGGTTACAACATACGATAATGTAAATAACAGCTAGTGGCCGTGTCTAATATCAATAAACATTATAAATAACTGAACTGGGAACTAACAGCATACAACTATGGTACCTATTGTGTTTAAACGATGATCTACGGAATATACAGAAACTGTAAAT